TGTACATGTACTTTAATGATCTATCGTCCTTTTTTGTGTAGGTTTTTTTTATGTTTGCTTGTTTGTTTCTTTTTATCAGCAAAAAAAAAAAAAGAATATACAGAGCAACTTTCGTTGAATCGGAGATGACAAGTGAGAGATATCGGTGACCCAGTGCCTCGAAACTGTTTCTTCACGCCGTAGGCCTACATTTCATGGTCTGTTTCTCTCGAAGTCACTTCCCCTTATTATTTCCACTATGTTAATAAATACTAATTTATAAAAAAAATCTTAGTGTATGGTTTCTGCTGATTTTAAAAGGTTTAGATCTACAGCTGGGATCATATCGCTTTTAAAAGCAAGTCCGCCATGTTTTTTTCATGCGAGATTATCTTTACTGAACGCAAGTTTTGAGAACCTTTAGTTCAAAAGAGTGTTCTTTATAAAAGTGATTTCTTGTAACCAGTTTTGCCACAAAAAAAGTGTCTTTGGTGAGCTGTGACGTAACACATATATGCGTATACAAAATGTTTGTGAGAAGCGGGAAGTGCTGTGAACAATTCTATTATCCGCGTTAAGGAGATTTGTAGTATTTTATATAAATTTATGAAGAAAAGGTTTTTAATCTAGCCTCAATTGTTGTGGAAAAAATACGATTAAGTTAAGACAAACTGAGACAAACTGCTGTGCAAAGTATGGGTGACATTGATTCTCCCGTTATAATTATATTTGAGGATAAGTTGCGCCACGAATTTTTGACCAGACTACATGTATAGTTTTTCCCATATATATATATAATCAAATCTAAATAGTCTAAGTAAAATTGAGCATTCAAGGCTTACTCACTAAGATTTAGTGAGTATGTCTTAAATAAGAGAAGGTCCTTTCTGTTCTTACGACCCTGGTGGACTTCATTCAACCGGAGAGAAAAAAAGGAGAAACACACCACTCCTCGATTTAGGCGAAATTGGGGTCGGGTGTCAGGTGAAAGTTTCACGCTGTTTACTAGAGTCTGTTTCTCTCAACCGATGAATCACCGTATTGTTTTCATAGTAAATTAAGTAAGGGCATTGGTCTGAATGGGTTTTAAACACTATTTCTCTTTCTTTACCGTCACGTCATACCCACATTCACACATGGAAGATGGAGTCAGAACATTCAAGTAAAAATTTTGATGAAAAATTCTAAACATACCTTACTTCAAAGAGGTGTAGCGCTATTAATTATACCAATGCCAAAATTAACTGCTCTGCTTCGGCCTTCTTTTCTCTCCCTTTGGATCCTTAGCCTTAAGGTGATTTAATTTGATTGACGTTGCACGGTTTAATTAAAAATCACTTGCCATTGTCACCATGAGGTTCGAGCTAGTTCTTATAAGTATTTGTGATTATAATTGTACATAACATGCTCCCGCTGTTTTTAATGACGATGATTATAGACGAATGAAGGTTGTGGCCTTATTTGGTAATCGCTATGATAATTGTTGTAATAATGATGGAGCATCAGGTTCATGATGAGGTAACGGTGAAGATGGGGGTGATGGCGGTGATAGTGTTAGTGTCTCTCCCTGAAAATGGCATTTGTTAATTACATGTAAGTAAGGGGGTTGGTCTGCTAGGCTCCTTTTTCATCTCGGCAAAGCAGTATCCCTACATAAATGATGGTGGGCTCACGATACCTTCTGTTGTTCTTGTTTTTGTTCTTGTTCTTCTACTTGCTCTTGTTTTTGTTTCTTCTTGTCCTTGTTCTTCTTGTTCTTGTTCTTCTTGTTCTTCTTTTTCTTCTTGTTCTTGTTCTTGTTCTTCTTCTTCTTCTTCTTCTTCTTCTTCTTTTTCTTCTTCTTCTTCTTCTTCTTCTTCTTCTTCTTCTTCTTCTTCTTCTTCTTGCAAAGAGCGGAAATCATCTTTAGGGATAGCATCAACTCTCTGAGCGTTGCCACTGTTGTGAGGTTCTGACTTGTCAAGAAGATGGTCAAAGCTACCCAGGACATATCTCTTGACTGCCGGGGCGATAGGAAGTGTCAACTGAAGTTCCTGTCCATTAACCTCTTCACTACCATCAGACTTCATCATTTTTTGGTTCCTCAAGCGAGACTCTGACTCTGGTGGCAACGAATTGGCTGCGAGAAGGAAAGCTTCAACCTTCGCACACATATAAAGAAAAGTAAAACCAAGTCCTTTCTTATTTTGTTACATAAAATTAAGAAATGAATGTTGTATTACTACTGTCAAAGATTCAATCACTACTGTATGTTTCCTCTCGGTCAGAATAATTGTTGGCCTGTCTGTTGATCACGTCCCCTCTCCTTATTCGCGGCCTGCATATTATTGCATTAGACTAGTGCGCACAATAAGCGAAATCTTTTCTATTCTTCTACGTCTACTTCTTTTTTTATTCTTCTTCATTTTCTTCTTTTTCTTCTTGTTCTTGTTCTTCTTGTTCTTGTTCTTGTTCTTCTTCTTCTTCTTCTTCTTCTTCTTCTTCTTCTTCTTCTTCTTCTTCTTTTTCTTCTTTTTCTTTATCTTCTTCATCAATTATACGCACATTCATTGATCAACTTCACCACATATCACTACTTACTTCTGACGTATTAACTCAGATGGCTCCTCCCTCTGTCCCTGGTATTAAGGAATTTTCTACAATAGAGCTAACAGGTCTATACAAAAATATTAATCCGTTAAGACAAAATTGATACAAGTCACTGTGCAAAAGCTGGAGAGTTTATGTTCGATAGTTGAGGAGATATTTGACAATAATTTGTGCCACGATATTTTGAGCGCACTATAGTATTTTTGTTTTTGTTTTTTGTTATATATAAGGAATGACCGGCCTCTTCACAAGATATGACAAGATAAGATAAGACAAGTTAAGATAAGATAAGATAAGATTAACTCCATTGAACCACGAAGGAAATTTTGGTGGATATAGGCCGAGGATACCGGAACTAACGGATTTATTTTTGAATGCCTTGATAAAGGCCTACCAGACAATCAACATACAAAGTTTCAACATCAACACAGAAATGCACCCAGTACACGCATGTTCACTGACACACACGAAGTGCTTCACAACTCGGTCACACTAGCATAAGAAAACAGTGTGTCTGTGGGCATGAGCCCTATCTCCCTCTCACTCTCTCTGTAGCTGTCTCTCTGTCTTTGTCTCTGTCTCTGTCTCTGTCTCTGTCTCTGTCTCTGTCTCTGTCTCTCTCTCTCTCTCTCTCTCTCTCTCTCTCTCTCTCTCTCTCTCTCTCTCTCTCTCTCTCTCTCTCTCTCTCTCTCTCTCTCTCCTTGTGAATATGGCAACACAGACCCAGGATGTTTGAAAGAGGAGAGACCTTCGAGCTAGGAGCCTTGTTTGTCGCATAAACCTACAGCACTATCACAGCCATCACAGACTTCACTAGGCACAGCATCGCGTGAAAAGGCCACGTTGTATTTGAAATACGTACATGTTTTCAGATGAGTCCAGGTTTCAACTGGAACGGTAACGATAGACGAATCAGAGTCACCTGAAGACCCAACCAAATGTGCACTCCAGCTTGCTTCAGACAAGCAAATAACTTTGGTGGAGGCAGTGTCGTGGTGGAGGCAGGAATCAGCGATTCTGGCAAGACCACACTTCTGTCTGTTCGTGGGAAAATCAGCTCAAGCCTACATCAACCAAGTTCTCGAGCCCATTGTACTTTGCTTTCAAAATCAATTCCAAGGACAAGTATTCGTGCCTGATAATGCACCAGCTATTAAAGCTAATGTGACATTTCAATTTCTCAAAGCCAACAATATTCCTACCCCGCTCCCATGCACTTGCGGGACATTTTAGATTGAGCCATTTGTGCCAAACCATATTAGCCCTGGACTCTTACTCAGTAAGAACAAGCCTTTAATTCAAGAGTACAATAATATCGCCCAATAGACAATAACTCGGCTCATTCAGTCCATGCGTCGACGATGTGAAGATTTGAACAACGCCAGATGTCCCACACTCGTTACTGGAGCTGTTACTCTACATTTAGATAACTGACAACTGCAAGTTCAAAGTTGAAGACTAAAATATTTTTCTCTTTGCATTCAACGTGTTTCCCTGGTTGTAAAATGATTGCACTCTCGTGTGTGTGTGGGTGGTTGGCGGATGCTCTGGTGTGGTTTGCTTCTTCTTTCCTGTCAAACATCTATCGTCCTTATCTCCCCTCCTTCTTTTATGTGTTTGTTACTCTCTTGAAACACCTCTAATCTTCTGGCACCCATATGATCTTATGCAGTTGCGAGCGCTGTAAAACTTCTACTAAAACAAAAACTGCCTTATCTGAATTCTTCAGACAGATCTGGTAATTAATGTATTAATCAAGATATTGACTTTAATACGAGTATTATGAGATGTGAAGTCCCCCCCCCCCCCCATATTATGTTTATGTATTTATATTATACATTAAACATATAATGTGTGTGTGGAAAGGGGGGGGGGGGGTCTGTGTTCTACGAGTGTTCTCATTATGAGGATAATCAAGTCTGTAATTGTCACTGGAATAGTCTCTTTAAAAACTGAGTTTGTCGCTATTGTACTTCCACGAACGTAGAAGGTTTATTTTTAAGGCAAACTTAGGAACAGGTAAATATAGGACACTCCCCTGGGCGGTGCTACTGACTGAAGTGTCTTTAGGCCATTAACATGTTCTTTGCTCAGTATAATTATAAATGGGCTGATTCTTCAATGTCATGCTCATAAATGTGCCTGAACTGCAACAGGGAACTGCTGCTTTTTCTTTCCTAATCCTTACTATCGTTATTTTCCTTTACTTCTTTTGTATGTTTGTCACACTCTTGTGAACTGCTATTTCCGGGGTGTCTTGATAGTCGAAGCAGACTTTGTGCTGTTCAAGCTAGAGGGGTGAGCAGAGTAAGTCTGATTCCCTGTAAGGACTTCTCTGTTGACATCCACCCTTTGGTGCTCATATGACTTTATGCTGTTGTAAGCTCCGTAAAACCTCTACTAAAATATTTTTCAAAATATAAGACACTCACCTGTTAAAGTGATTTTGCCGTAAGAAACCCGCTGCAAGTCACCGTCCTGGCTTGCCTGTCTTGTTATTCTCAATGTCCGAGGACCACTGGACATTGGTTGATCCTCTTGGGCAGTAGAGACTGGTTCACTGACCTCCATCACGTCTGCCACTGCACCAGCTTTCCTTGTCGGCTGTTCGACCACTGTGTTTCCGCTTCCGCTTCGGCTCCACAAACCAGACATTGACATGTTGTCGCTGGCGGCCAATTTGGCTAAAGGTGCCTTAGATAGTGCTGAAGAGTTGCCCCCACTTCCATGAACTTGCAGTGGGACATCTTGGCTTCTAAAGTCAAGGTCACTGTAGTGAGGAAGATTTTGGTCCTGTGCAGGATAAGGAGGAGGCGAATAATCCGCGGTCGGGTAGTGGTGATTCTCGTCTTTTTGTGGGGACGAGACGGGAAATCCTGAGGATGACGACGTTCTAGAGACGACATTGTTTGGAGAATGAGCGCGCGCGCCCGAGGGAGAAACGGTACCACGTTGAAAGTCACGACCAGCTCCGACTTTCGGAATCTGTGAAGGCGAGAATAAAGGGGAAACAGCACGAGGGGAGTCCGGATATTGGTCAGTGCCTGCCACGGCAATAGGAGAGTTCGATGTTGAATATGTCTGTGGTCGTAGCGGTGAGGACGTGGAACGTATAGGAGAAGTATTGCAAGAGGCAGACATTGGTCCCAGCATGACGCTACCTACATTCTTATCTCTTTCCACTATGTGAGAGCTTGCTCTCCGCTGAGGAATTCTGGGAGATGAGTTCCAAATGGGTAGCTCTAGACTCGCGCCAGCACTCGCAGAGGATTTGATCTCTGACATTATAAAATCACTAGGTGAATTACGACTCCCGCTGAATGAGCGGTGTCGCGTGCATGCGCGTGGACTCACGTTACTTTGAGGCGGTTGATTATGGTGGAAACTGCTGGACTTCGGGTTAATCACTCTTCGCGGGGACCGCGGGACTTTATGAGGACGAGGCTTTGTTCTCCGAGGGCTAAAGCTGAAACTCCTCTCAGGGAGAGGGCTCAGGCTTCTAAAGCGACGACCTAAAATAGCGTCTTCTTCGCTGTCGTTGCCTTCCAGTCTGCTCGGGGTTCGAGCTCGCCTGTACGGAGACGGGATATCGCTGTAGTAACCCCTCCAGTCTTCGTGTGACCCCACGCTCGTAGTACTGAAAGCTGACGTCATACTTTTGGAGTGAGGCAAGGAGAAAGAAGCGCTTCTGGGAGGCGGTGTTTCGTCGCCGATGTGATACAGTTTCCCCGCACTGTGTGGTCCCCCTGCTGCGTCTGTGTAGAACGACCTACTACCACCTACCACGTGATGTACTTTTTTATAGGGTTCATGACCCTGGAAAATCTCATCCGGGAACGAGAGCGCTTTTGGTGGGATTTTCGATCCTGGGCTCAAGTGGTGGGGACGATACTCTTCCGAGCGAACGCCACCTCGCGGGGGAAGACGTGGGGAGCGCGGGATGAAGTGAAGGTCGCCAGACTCCATTTCAATCACGTGGTACAAGTCTCTGGGTACACGTGAGTCCAGACCTAAGGGCACGCTAGTACTTCCGGGAGGCCCATCCCCTGGGACAACAACGCCACTCTCCTTGGACTCGGGAAGGGATCGGAATCCGGTGAAGACGTTTATGAATCTATCCCAACGTTTATGCTGTCTTCGACTTCGCCTTTTCGGTCGTTCATCCACGCTGGACTGTGAAGATTTTGACACTTTACTCTGGTGAGAATCCCCGCTTTGAGCTGCTCGACTGCCCGAGAAAACGTTTTTAAAGCGCGTCCACGCTGTTCTAGGTTTTCCCTTGCTGTGCACAGAGGAACCTCGAGACATTCGACTACTATCAGCCGACGACTCAGGGTCGTACTCGGGCAAGCTGTCGCTCGGGAAATCCACGATTCGCCGATTGAAGTTACTTACCCCGATTTCTCCGAGACTGAGACGGCTCCTTTTGCTCCTCGGGGGTCCCGAGACAACGGCTGAAGATCGACTAGAATCGGAGGATTTATTGTTCCACTTTTTAGCTCCCGACTTTCCTCCCACAACTGGTGAGTTTGGGTTGCTCTTTTTCTTTACCGGGCTGTGCAGACAGTGGTAGTATTCGTTCATGTTACCGGATCGAACCGAACTGACTTTGCTTAAGCTCGCCCGGTCCGTTCGCTCCATGGGCGGGAGTCGTTGTTCCTCGTAATAAAAGTGATCCCCATCGCCTTTAGACACTCGCCTCAACACAACGAGGCTGTTCTCGGAGTTCCTGCGGATGTCGTTGAGACTTGGCGGGCAGTCGCTGTCGGTGCTGGCGCCTTGGATTAGGATGGTGGGTTCACTGCTGCGGTACACAGAAGACGAGGAGCCCCAACGTGTGTTCACTCGACCTTGACCTCCCTCCCCGGGCGCAGGCAGGTTGGGAGGGTGCAGAGTCTGACCACCCCAGAGAGGGTGATCTTGACCAAGCCTGGCCGCGGCGCTGAGTTCTTCTCTTAGCCTCTCCGGATTCAGATTTCCCAGCGACGAATGTCTACGAGCTTCGGCCGCAACTTCTGCCAACCGAGGCGTAAGCAAATTCTGGGAGCCCAACACGAAGGGCTGGGGCGAATCTTTGTCGACGGACAGTTTGTGAAAGTCAAAGTCGTCGCCATGTATGGTACACATAGAGCTGCCTTGAAGGTGGTGTGGGCTGCTCCAGTAGCCGCCCCGCACTCTCCTGCCGGGTGTGGAATGAGCTGATGGCGGACCGCTAGGCGGACGCCGTGTTTTAAACTTCTTCAGAATATCTTGGAGCAGCATCGGGTTCGCATGAGTGCTCGGGTGGTCCTCTGACTGCGTCGCAAATCTACGGAAAGGAGTCCAAGATTTTTTAACACTGGCGCGAATTTTGCTTTTGAAAAAGTTCCTCTTCTGAGCACCCGGTGTTACTGGGTTGGCGTTGGCCGCGGTGAATGCCGTGTCTTCGAGGTAATACGGACAGTTACTGCCGCTCCCAGCCTCCGCTGAGCCGGGAAACAAAGAAGAAGGATTGTTTTCTGAGTGGCCCATCGAATCAAAACTGATCATAAAGGACCGGCCCAGCTCCCTGAGTGTGATAGCATTTGTGTTGCAAAGGGCGGCCACCATTCTCTTCCGGCGCATTCCTCCATATTGGAATATAATGTAGAAGTAGTCCATGAGTATCTCTCGTTTCTTGACCACTTTCCTGTGGCGCAGGTAGAAGGAGGCAGCCAGGAAAAGTATCATTCCGCTAGCCACTGTGACAGCGGGCACCCAGGCGGGAAAGAGAGTCTCGAAGTGGTACGGCTCTCGCGGGGTCACCGAGCTGTGGTTACGAGGGGAGTCCAGGCTTTCCATAAAAACGATGGACTGACCTGGCCAGCAGCCTCAACACGCTACAAGCATTTGCATGAAAATGACATCCCCAGTGTGGAACTGACCTTTACTTTTTGCTGAGGTTTAACATCTAAGTTCAAATAAAGCACACGCCACAAGCCTCCCCTAAAAAGGAAAGTAATCAGCCAGTAACTAACCCTTGCTTTGGTGATTTCAGTTATAAGTAGGTACATGATACACAACACAAAGGGGGGGGGGTCTGCTGGTTACCTGCAATCGTAAAAATACAAAGTACACACGTCAAATTTATACTACTAAAAGATATTCAAATTATTGCCGAGCTTTCTTTTTCTGTTACTTTCTATTAGCCTAAAACTATCAACAGACACAGAGAAGGCCATTCATCAGTCTTATCAACAGAAGACTCGGTGAAGAGGAGCCATCTCAAAGAGCAGAACAATTCGACCTCTGATTTTCAATAGATTTAGAAGGTTTCCCCCAGGACTAGCTCTTGAAATGTTCATGCACAGATCAACTTCGCACGTTGTTGCACAACAGCTGCCGTGGCGCAACAAGTCATTAAAATCCTCCATGCATCATGTGTGACTGCTCATCACCGTCTCGTTGGGACTCAAGAGCAATAATTACATCCCCTGCTTAGACAAACAAAAGAGACGGCTACAAATGCTCTACTGCTGAGTAACAATATCTGCTTTTGTTGAGTGACGTAAACGGAAGCTCTCCCATGTCGTAATGCTACATCAAGTAACCCTCATACGACGTTGTAAGTGCATGTCTTCGCTTCCTCAAGAGACATTCTGGAATATCCAGCTGCAAAAAGCAACTAGCACTTGCTTGCCAACCGGTAATAAAAAAAGTCGCGACACACGCAAAAGAAGATAGAAGTCTAGCTTTCTCACTGTCAAAAAATATATTTGAAACCATCTGAATGTTTGCCAAAATCTTTAAAGCAATCTCAAGAAGTAAAATGCACCAGAGAACTGCAGATGTCGAGGTGACAGTCCCCTCCACTTCAGACAAAATCTATCTGTACGAACGAAACGCGCCAAATGTTTATCATTGACCTTTACATTTTCTACGTCTGCTCTTCAGAAATGGCGGCGATGATCACCTCCGTAGAAAGCTGTCACAGTTGCTTGGTCTGGAAAGAAAAAGAAAAAAAAATGTAAAAATTGGGAAATAGCAACAATAGTAGTTATTTGTTACTGCATGTGAGTTGTCTGCCTTTCATATATGTTAGGGTCAGTCTTTTTGTGCTCTTTGGATCATCTTGTCATCATCATCAGGAAAAGGCAAGACCCAACCATCTCCTACCCAAACCTCTAACCAGTAACACACACACAAACACACACACACACACACACACACACACACACACACACACACACACACACACACACACACACACACAAATAATAAAATCTCTTGCAGCGATCCTGAGTTCAAGTTATCGCGCCGTTCAGCGGACGATAAATCTCGAATGCCACTTGACGTAAACAGAGAAGTCGCTTGTTTTCAATAAGTGGCTTCCTTCAAAATCGATATCATAAAGATCTAATTTATTCCAATCTGGTCTGAACTCTATCGCCATTTTACGAAAACTTTCAAATTAGGCAATCGTACTCTCATTTAAGACACTGAACTGTTGTACAGACGCTCAGAATTAATACATCTAATTCATCTTATTTCAGGATACGGATTGCAATGTTCGCATCCATGTGCGGAAACTTATTCCTTCCTGTATTTTTCTTTAACTAGGATTCAGAAGAATATTTTTGCACCGCTCGTACAGGGAAACAGACAGGACAGACAGACAAACAGACAAACAGACAAACAGACAGACAGACAGACAAACAGACAGACAGACAGACAGACAGACAGGCAGACAGTCACTTTTTATTCTCACATCGACACAATTCAATTCATTAAGGAGGCGGGCTGCCTCACCCTACAGGTCAAAGCCTACCTATGCTCAGTGGGATTCAATATTCCAAGGACAGGAATCAAACTCAAATCTTCTGCAAGCAAAGCAACAGACGAAACTGTCTAAGACGGCCATCCATTGTCGAGGAGAAAAGCAGTTGTCTTAGACAGGTGACCGTCTTATACAGTGTTACTATGAAGTAAAAATACTGAAATAAGAAGTGGCCGTTTGTACAGTTGATTATCTTATACGGGTGACCGTCAGCGCAGGTTCGACTGTATACATATAGGCCTACTTACATATGTAATATATATATATATATATATATATATATATATATATATATATATATATATATGATATATATATATAATATATATTTATATAAAATATATATACAATGTATATATATATATATATATATATATATATATATATATATATATATATATATATATGTATATATATATATATAACGCCACCATGGAATCAGTCACTTGTTAAATTTGGGCATACAGTTATTTGTATCATCTTAAAGTTAAAGCTGCTTCCTTCGTCTTGCTTTTATGGGAAAAAGATACCATTTTGAATAGAGGTCTAGACATTTGCTGTTGAAGGAGGTGGGGATCGCCCAATATCAGAGGTAAAATTAGCGAGAAACTTGCCGCCAAAGTCTGGTGACTTTCAAACCATAGATGTCCTTGAAAGCCGCAAATCTACATTTCGTGTGCCTTTGATCAACATCTGCTGTCAGTACATGTAATAATATCCACACAGGAATGTGTTTGTTAATTGGCGTGTCGCGGTCTAGGGGCACAGAGTTCGCCTCTTAGTAAAAAGGTTTTGGGGTCCAGACTTGGCCAGCGATGAAAAAGATTTCTTCACTTAAATTGTGTTCTCTGTCTTCCTTTTCTGTTCTCTAGTCCTGTTCTGTTATCTACTTTCATCCCCCCCTCCCCCGAAAAAAAAACACCTCTGACCTCCTCTTGCCCCTCTCTCCCTTACTCGTGATTCTTTCTACTGCCTTCTGCTGCTCCTGACTCCTTCTTACTTCTGTCTTTCAATCACGCCCCACATCTAAGCGTATGTTTAAGATCGAATACCTAGCCTTCTTAGACAAGTGCAAAAAATCATGGAGGTCCCATGTTCAACTTGCTCACCCAGGCAAAATTAAAAATACATGCCAACCAAAACTAAAAATACTCTAGTCTGTGCAACCTCCCCCACCCAAAGAAAAAAAAAAAAATTTTTTTAAATAAAGTACGTTCGAAACCGGAATGTGGCTGCCTAAAGGCGAGGGGGCTTACTAAGTTAAAAAAAATACGGCAGCATTCATAAAAATAAGCTGTACTGCAGGGCGACTATCCCTGAGATCTAGTAGGAAAACACAAGGAAGAGTAAACAATTGAAGCGATAATATTTCCAAAATGTTACGAGGTCTCGAAAATCTATGCTTAAAGTACGTTAGAAACAAGAATGTCAGTTTGCTGGAAGAGGAAAATTAAAACAAAAGCAACTACGAATCGTGTCAATTAGAATGAAAGTGGGAAAAAGTCATGGATAAAGAAATCTTTGTATTCTATTTTTTTACAAGCCTGGTGAATACTTCGCAACAAATATAGGTCATGGAAAAGCCACGCGAGCTGCCTCCGGAGACAGCTCTACCTAAGAGTTAAAGCGAGATGCGCAGACGACAGAGAAGGAAATTCAATGCAGCTCTCAACATGAGTAGGTAAAAAATCAATTCTGTGTGAATGCCGTCGTTATTCAGACGCTGTTCACAATCAGCTAGTTTTGTGCGGCCAATGGAGACATAATCAGCGACACCCATCGGCGTTGTTGTTGTCATAAATCGTAAAGAGCGAAAGAAATAGAAATTATTATATGAACATAAACTTTGTTTCATTTCAAACAGTATTCAATTGTTTGTGAACTAGTGGTGTTGAGTTATTGATTTTTAATCCCTCCTTTCCATACAACTGAACTGTTTTTCTTTGGAGCAGTAGCAAGCAATTACATTACTCTTCCCCTATGTTTATTAAAATGTAGTTGTGCGTTGTTTTATTTTGTTTCGTTGAGTATAAAGGTATCACGTCCCTATCAACAAAGAGTGATAATTTAAGATTAGAATGTGAGCTGCTTCGACCTAGCTGCGCCCACCCTCGCGGAAAGAGATACTTCTTCCCAGGTGAGACAGGCAAAGCCAAACAAGAAAAAAAATTTCCGCACTCGCAAATGAAAGTCATCTATTTTTCTTGAAAATTTAAAAGCCTGCTTTCTCAATACAGACCCATAAAAAGATTAAATGAAACCACACAAAGAAAAGAACGTGGGTGGGTACGTACCAATCATATCAACAATGGCAAGAAGCAGATATTGTTCCTTAGCGAGGCAGGAAACTCTAACTGCGACACGTTTTACCGTGAGTTCGCCCATATACTTGTTTTACCTGAGTAGTGTTAATATAACCACCACCTTTTTGTTTTTGGTAAGTGTTTTACGGTGCTCGCAACTGCATAAGGTCATATGAGCGCGCGGGACACATTAAACATTTTAAGTTAGAGGGAAATTTTGAATTTTGCCCGGGTGGCGGCCAAAGCCTACTCTTATCGATTTTAGACCACGAAGGGATCTTTAACGAGCACAACTTGCACACGGTACCTCCGAGATTTTTCGCCTTGTCCGAGAAGGCTAGGTGTAAATCTTTCCTACCAGGAGACCAGGGGTGTGGCTGGAAGACAGCAGCAAGAAGGAGCCAAGGCATAGAAGTAGAAAGGCGGCAGAAAGAGCCAAAAGCCCAGAGGAGGGGGCAAAGGGGGTGAGGGGGTGGGAGCAGAAAGTGGTGACGAAAGCAGAAGACAGCACATTGCAAGAGAGCAGAAAAGGGGATGAAGGAGACAATTTGTAGGAAGAAAATTTATTGTCGCTACCCTGGACCTTGAATGAGAGGTGAACACCCCCCCCCCCCTTTCCCCCTTTTCCAACCACCTTTGAAGAGTCACATCCTTTCACCTCGACAAGTTAACCACATGCGGCGGCTGAGAGAGTTGAGACGACTTGGAAATGCGGATATATATACATTATAAGAATAATTACCATTTGTTCAGCGCGCAAGCTCTTTGCACGTTACAACCTACATTATTACCCCCAGCAGACCTTAAAACATTCAGAAACAATCTCGTCTTCCAGGGAAACATACAGCGCAATCAACTAGCGCTCAACCATTAGCAATCTGACACGATCTTTCACTATCCATACCCGTGTACCCATTCCCACCTGTGTGAAGAAAGGAAATGCATATAACGTGCCTTTCCCAAGGACACAGGATCAGGCCCTTGACGAGGTTCGAACCCACAATCTTTTTCTTGCGAGCCGCTAGACCACCGACGCCACATTAATACTTGTACTGTCCTAAAGATTTGTTTTTCCCTGCACAAGCCGACAACAAGGTCCATAATACTGCCCAAACCCTTGGCTACTTTTATCGTGGCTTCTTTCAGTAGAGCGCATGAAAATCTGAAAGAGGAAAAGACGTTGTTGGGTTTATTTTTATGTCTTCATTGTACGCACAGCCAATGAAAAAAGAGCCTAAAATGTTTTGTTTTCTTTTAGTTTGTGTGCCTATGTTTGCAGTTAGCTCTTGATAAGACAAATTCTAATGCAACTCAAAGATAATTCATAATAATAATAATAATAATAATAATAATAATAATAATAATAATAATAATAATAATAATAATAATAAAAAATAGTAATGAACTGATGATGGCCTTTAAATCCAAGGAGGAAAGGAGGCTACAGATCTAGGCTAGACCCCTTAGCTATAGCAGATAGCTGGCATGGTAAAGAGGGTAGGGGTAAAGGAAATAATCCAGCAACTAGGCTAGTAGTAATGATCACAAACTTCACAACTCGCCGCATATAGCAGCACCTTTCCCTTTTCATTAATTTATGGCGTGTTTAGCTGACGCGCCTAAACATAACAATAAATCGTTGGTTAAACCTACTCATGGCTTCGCTCGCGACCCTCAAGCGCAATTTTGTCAGAGAGGATTTTCCCTCAGACAGAGCACGTGCTGACTGTTTTGCCAGTGTCAATGTCAGATTTTGACCGTCTTGATTTTCCTGCTTCTATGGCCGCCTCTGCTTTACAAAATGTTTTTCTAAAAAACCTTGCTGCCATATGGCTACCT